TTACAAAAATTAAAACTTATTACAAAAAACTAAAATTCAAAAATTTTATTGAGGTTGAGGCCGGGGTTTTTTATGAAAATTTTGTGCAAAAATAACATCTATACTAATTATATAAAGAGAAGTCCCTTTTTTCTAACGGCTGGTCCGAAAATTTTACTTTCTTCCGCTAGGTGGACTAGGCACCGATCTATTCGAAAAAATCTTATTATGGTCCGATTTGCTTAAAATTTGGTACGTAGGTAGCTTTTTACCTAGATTAGCATATACGATCCTGTTTTCCGAGAAGTGGACCAGGGACCGATCTATTCGAAAAAATCGTATTTGATAGGTAGCTTTTTGCCTAGATTAGCATATGTGATTCTTTTTTTCCGGGAAGTGGACCGGAACCGATCCAAACGAAGAAATCGTATTTATGGTCCGATTCGCTTAAAATTTGGTACCTAGGTAGCTTTTTTCCTAGATTAGCATATATGATTCTTTTTTTCCGGGAAGTGGACTAGGAACCGATCCAATCCAATAAATCGTATTTATGGTCCGATTAGATTAAAATTTGGTACATAGGTAGCTTTTTGCTTTGATTAGCATATATGATTCTTTTTTTTGTGAAATGGACCAGAGACCGATCTATTCGAAAAAGCTTTATTTATCGTCCGGTTTGCTTGAACATTATCACGTAGGTAGCCTTTTCCTAGATTAACATATAGGATCCATTCTTTACTCTAATATGTTCCGTTTTGTTAGAAATTTGGCGCGTAGGCAGCTTACTGCCTGGATTAACATATAGGATACTTTTTTCTTATCGGTGGACCAGGAACCGAGAATTGAATGATTGTTTTACAGTTCGAAGTATTTTAAGGCGCCCCAAAGCAAGCGGGTATTGGCTTTGTATCGATACTTATTATCTATACCAATTATATTACGAGAAGTGCCACCTTTTTGTAAGAAGTGATCTCGGGAACGGCTGTACCAATTTTTTTGAAATAGAATTTTTGGTTATAGACACCGCATATTTCTGAAAGCATTAGAGTCTTGGAACTTGGTATGAAGGTTTTGAAATCAATCCCTTGGAGAAAAGTGGGGGCTATTGGTAAAGAGGGCGTGGCGCCTTCCAAACATACTGAAACTTGTACCTATCTATAAATACATATATAATTCTTCGGTACGTGTGTTTTCGAGTGAAATGGTTTTAATGAAATTTTTGTCCTAAAGTCCCTGTATAGTTTAGGTTCACAACTTAAAATGCCAAGTGGAGCTGGAGTCGAGTTATTAAAAACCGTATTTATGATCTGATCTAGCTAATATTCAAAATATGTATTGGTAACGTGAAGGGAAATATCTCTGCGCAAACAAATGGCTCGCCAGGTGGCTTTGGAGTCGAGTTAGTACTAAAAATCGTATTTATGGTCCGATTTGCCTCATAAACAAGATGTAAATTGGTAACGGTAGGGGCAATACTATTGAAAAAAGAGTCGCAAGGTGGCGCCGGTGTCGAGTTATTGCTGAAAATCGTCAAGTGAAGTCATTCGGAGACACCAGGGATCAAAATCAAATTACCACCGTCAAAATGACCACCATAACCATTGCGGTCTTTGCTTTACAGCGACTAAACAAAATAAAGACAATTCTTGATGAATGCCTACAAATTCAATTGTAACACATTTATGGTATTTAGTCTGAAATAAGTCTATGTATATTTTATTTCTGTGGACTAATGATGTTCTCTCATTTTGAAATCCCCACCACCTTTTCTATACAGATTCAAGGACGATTCAACATCGACCCGGATCATTGATTCCGCAAGAACTTCTTCACGGTCATAACGCTTTCGTTAGGTTATTTAAGACGGCAATGGAAAATATGGTTTCTGACGACCAAAAAACCAAATGTGAACATAAATTGCTTTGTACCAAATATTTGAATAAAGAAAGAAATTTTGGGCGGGACGAAGTTGGCCGGGTCTGCTGGTTAATTTACATTTTGGTAGAAGTTATAGCTGCTAATTCGGAAATCAAAAATTATTGAAATACTTGTGCGTTCAATCAGATTCATATGGGACATTCTTTAAAATATTTACACCTCAATATTTTTTTTGGGGTGAAATATATATTTTTTTATAATCTTTATCGAAAAAAAGAAGACACCTATTTTTTATTTCGTCATGATATTCGAAATTCGAAAAAAAAAATTCCCGAAATTTTTAACGTACGGAGAAGTATCTTTTTTTAATTGTTTGCAGTTAATAAACTATTTGTCGGAGAAAATCAATTGAGGTATCAAAATGTGCGTAATTACCTCGGCTTTCCATGAGAGTGTGAGATAGAATTTTTGGCATTTTTTTATTTTTTATTTTTTTTAGTAACTTCATTATGTTTTATTTTTATTGAGCTTTGTACCACGATTGTTTATTAGGAAAAGTTGTTAAAGCAACAAAGTCTAAGCGGTAGAAGTTATAGCAGCTATTTCGGAAATCACCACATCTCTTCATCAGGCTTCTTTTATTCTAGACTTCAGCAGGGATCGAAACTGCGTAATCGATGTACAAAGTCAGAAGCGTTAACCACTGAGCTATGTAAATCCCGTAAACTCTTGTTGCTAGTTCATTTTCCTTATTCAACCAACTACTATCAAGTGCAGCTGATTTGCCGCTATTTAAACTCGACAGCGTGGTTGTTGTTGTCAATTCTATACATCCATTTGCTTATTTGCTTTTTTGTATAGTTTCAGGCAGGCTCTTCCTAAACTATGTATTTGTCAATGTTATTGTGGCTTTTGACATTTTATTTTTAATATTTTTATTGAGCTTTGTACCACAATTGTTTATTCTGTTCTACCGCCTAGACTTTTTTGCTTTTTCAATTTTTCCTAATAAACAATCGTGGTACAAAGTTCATTATGTTTGAATTTTTTTTTCAACCTGAATAGTTGTCCAACTACATGGAGTAAGCTGTAAAAATTTGAAAATGGAAACACAAAGCTGTAGATGTTTTGAGTTTTTTTCATACCTGTACTTTAGTATAAACTTTGAAAAAAATAAAAATCAAACATGATGAAGTTAATAAAAAAATATAAAATGCGATTTTTAATGAAAACAATTTTTTATTTTAATCTATCTCACATTCTCATGGAAAGTCGGGGTAATTAACCTAGTTAAGGTAGGTTCTCCGACAAATAGTTTATTAACTGCAAACAATTAAAAAAAGTCACTCCTCCGTGAGTTCAAAATTTCGGGAACTTTTTTCGCAATTTTTGACGCAAAGCAATTGTCGCTAACTGGTTACAGATTCTCCCTCCTGAAGTACAAAATATCGCAAAGAAGTACATTTGACTGTACTTCAAAGTACGAAGTACAGGAGCGAAAAAAGAAGTACTGTACTTCCGAAAGAAGTACGGTTGGTCACATTAATCATGACGAAATAAAAAAATATGTGTCTTCTTTTTTTCAATAAAAATTGTAAAAAAATTTATTTCACCAAAAAAAAATATTGAGGTGTAAATATTGTATGGAATGACCCACATGTTACATTAAAAACAGTAATTTGGAAAATTTATTCATTTTTGGCATTCAGTATGCAATTATACTTTTTGTAAAGAAAATATTTGCTAGTTTTCAATTAAAAAAACAACCAATCCAGAGAAAAAACTACCAAACAACGAAATTAGAAAACAAGTAAGAAAGTCTAAGTTCGGGCGGAGCCGAACATTAAATACCCGGCACAAGTATTTAATATATGCCAAGGCGTATCAAATAAATTAAAGTCCTCAAATTTCGTAATTTCGAAGTTTGAAGCAGTTCTGAAATTTTGTTGTATGAAAGCGGCCCCAATTTCAATAATTTTCAGCACTTTGCTTTTATGTGGCAAGCACAATAACCATACCAAGTTTGGTACAAATTGGTAGAACGGTTACCGAGATACATACATATATGTGATCATAAGTGGTCGGAGCCACGCCCATTTTCCAAAATTTTATCACAAACGTATTTCTTGGTTAAGAATTGTTGCAAGCGTCAATTTTGAATAAATTAGCTTTAATATTTACTGATTTATCGAAGATTTGTTATTTCTCTAAATTACCGTTATATGGAATGTGAGCGTAGTTATTGTTATTTTAAAAATTTTCGGCCATTTGGTATGTTGTGCGAAGGCCAACAACTGTAACAAGTTTGGAAGAAATTGGTGCGCGGTTATGTAATGATTTGCTAATTTTCCAAAAATTTATAATGTTCTTATTTTTCGTCCAAAACTTATTGTAAATATCAATTTTGAGTGAGTAATCTCCAGTAGTTACTAAAATATCGCAGTTTTCGTATTTCTGACCGTTATATGGGAAGTGGGCGTGGTTGCAGTCCGATTTCGCCCATTTTCAATACCAACCTACCTTGGATAAATGGAAACCTACATACCAAATTTCGTTGAGATATCTCAATTTTTCTCGAGTTATCGTGTACACGGACGGACGGACAAACGGACAGACGGACGGACATACAGACATGGCTTAATCGACTTCTCTATTCATTCTGAGCATTTAGGTATACATTTGTCTATATCTATCTCGATTCGTTTTGGCTGTTACAAACAACCGTTATGTGAACAAAGTTAATATACCCTTGTGCACAAGTGCGCTCGGGTATAAAAATAAAGGAAAAACAACCAAGTTTGATTGGAAACAACCAACAGTGGCCACAGTGCATACAACATCACTAGAAAAAGCGCCTTCTAATATCACAGATTTTATTGTATGAACGCTACATTCGTTGAAAAGTACAGGTAAATCAGTAAAAGCAGTTAAATTGTATCACATAAAACTCCCATTAAAAGTTATAAAGAGTTAATAACATAATTTGGCTCAAGCTTGCTTTCCCTGCTTAACAATCAACTTGATTAACCGAAAAGTTATACAAGAACACTAATGTTACAAGAAGTCCGTTAAAAGAAGTAATGTTGGATAATAAATTAGAAAAATGTATTCATATACATAATAGTATATGTATTAAAGTTTACCTGATATCTCTGCCGCATTTGGTTTATACGCATCTGTATTTATTGTCCGACTGCTATTGGGCGATGAATGATTGGCTAATTGTGGCAGTGTGGTAGCATTTGTAGACACAGCCGTTGCTTGGCGCATGGAGCGACGCACTTCGTAGTCACGCATATGGCTGGGGTAAGATGATGATTCCAAAAATGTTTGACTTATACCCATTGCACGAAATGGATGTGGGCCAGGTGGACCTGAAATAAATGCCAATGCTTCAAGAATTAGGATTAAAAATCAAATTTTTCTCGCACTAAGCAAATAGTGTAAGTGTATGTATGTTTATATGTGAGTATATGTATATATGTAAGTATGTACATGTATCGTTTGAATGCAGAAAATTAGCTGTTAACGAAAACCCAATAAAGATGTAAGAGCGTGAATGATGTAACAGGTCCATCGGGAGACGGGCCGGGTCCCGATGTATAAAAATATTTTTTTAGTAATCTTCGTGAATAAATTTTAAATGTCTAATATCGATAACAATGTCACATCGTTAGCCTAACACAGACGGATACTTTTTCCTTTTGCAGAGTTTCCTCGTTCAATTCAATATATGTATGCAGGGGAGCACCCAGGAATATATTTTAGGGGGGGTTTTATATTTCTGAAAATATATCACCGGAAAATACTGAAAATTTGCTTCAGATAATACCCTCTTTAAAATCCATTTATGCAAGTTTTATGTACAGTATGTAATAAATAAACGTTTTAAAATTCATAAAATGCACTTTATTTACAGATTAACAGACCTCAAACGCTTTTAACCGACTTCAAAAAAAGGGAGGTTATCATCTCGCCGGAATACATAACATTGGACCACGTGAACCGTTTTCAATAATCATTTTTTTATTAGAAAGATAGTACCTCAAGGTTCGTCCCGTAGTTTGTTTTAGAGATCCGATGATTGGATCATGAAGAAATTAACGGTATCCCTAAATTTGAATATGAGAATTGAAGTCGGTTGTGTTCTTTCCTTAAAAGCTACTTGTTTAATAAAAAGTTTTATAAACTCAAGATGCGCTCAAGTTTCAAAAGTACCTAATATAAAATTTTAAAAAAGAGGCAGTAAAATTAAATTTATTGATTCCATGAATTTTTGCACTTCTATGTTAATTTTTTCGATTTCTGGTTTTCGGTAGAGATGGTGGTTTTTCACGATTGCTAAATTTTTTCAATATTTCAAATACCGAAAAAATTAACTGAACTCTCAAGAAAAACGAAAAATTCATATAAAACGACGGACGAGAAATCGAAAAGAAATCAGTTTGCAGCTCTCAAGAAAAAAAATGCTTGTATATTTATTCCCTCATGAAAATTTACAGCAAAAGCGAAGCGCTTTTTCAAGCAACAGAAATTATAATAAATATTTCTTATAATTTCCTTGAGAGCTGGATTCTTAGCTTTAAGATACAGATTGTATTTGAGGTTATTAGCTTTAGGGGGGGTTTGAACCCCAAAATCCACCCCTTGTGTGCGCTAATGTATGTATGTATGTGTTTCCAAAAAAAATTAATGTTCATTCAAGTTCCTTGAAGGCATCACATCGTCTCATCATGTTTGCAATGAAGCAGTATAACAGACCACTTACATACGTATTTGGTGTGGGCCTTTGTTCATTAATTGCAGTCAGAGTTTTGAGCCAAACAGACCCAAAAAAATATATATATTCAAATAAAGCTCCCTCTTTTTTTGGCGCTGCATCCGCCTAAGCGAATTTAGCCAGCCGTTTCCCTCCTGTCTCAACGGACACCAATCGGCATATATTAATCAGGGTTGGGCACGCTGCACTAAATTTTCAATGCACTGAGCAATTCATTACCACTATTCGTGTAGTGGTAGTGAAATTCGAAATACATTACCACTAGGTGAATAGTGGTAGTGAAAAAAATATTTCACTATCACTATATGGTTAGTGGTAGTGCCAAATGGTTTTCACTACCACGATGCACTTTAGTGGTAATGCATTGCAAATTTCACTACCACTATATGGTTGGTGGTATACATTTTTGAACTAACTAACTAACTAGCTAACTATGAAATTTGCACAGATCGCAAACTTTTCCTAAATTTGTAAACTAATTTAATTAGTCAGTGATAGTGAAACTTTCGTTCCCTTACCGCTCACCGGATAGTGATAGTGAAAATTCTATTTGACTATAGTGCTAGTGAAATTTGAAATGCACTACCACTGAAGCCCTAGTGGTAGTGAAAATCTCGATTTAGTGCAGCGTGCCCAACCCTGATATTAATGCTGGCTACAAAACGAGCGAAATCGTCTACTTTTTGTTGTCTGTGCTGAATTTACCATGTCGAAAGTCACACTAATGCGGTCCAATCCGTTCGTTTACGTTGCTCAATACGCTAATAATACCTAATACCCGACGCTTAGGATGCTGATGCCGCAGCAATTGGCACGTATGGCGGGGTGGCATTTCTTGTGGATTGGGCAGAGCACACTTAAATTTCAGTCGTTGGGCATGCGTACTGGAAGAACGTCAACTCGTCCTAATCGGTCGGTGGGTCATCGATTCCGCCGACTGAGTGTTTGCGTTCATTTTCCCCATAAACTTCAGTGCGGCTACGATTCAAAGGTGTTCATAATTTAAGCAAGCTCGGGACATTGGCCTCTAGGTCGCCGAGTTTGTTCTTACAGAAATTCGCCCTGGTCTTGAAACCTTCCGAAAGTCGCCTAACTTTCTGATACAGGTTTTCCTATCGATCAGCATCGCGAGCTCTTCGCCCTCACGTATCTCGACCTCTATCTTTTTATTATGCAAATACGTCTCGCTTCCCTCTTCAACATCTTGAATGCACCTTTCCCACATAGCTCGCGTTGCGCCCGATCGAATCTTTTTTTTTGCAGCTTTTTGGGGCAATATCAATCCCTACATACTTCTTCGGTGGTGGTACGTACGGAGCGGGCAATGAGGTTCCACTACTACTACAAGAGATCCTTACGCTCCCTTACATGACAGCTGTAGTAGACGACGCAAAACCCCACGCTTTTTTGCCTTGCCACATCCATCGTATTTCTTCGATGACTGTGACTTCAGTCTTTGTCTTCAGCCGTGTATCTTAGTTCTTTATGTAGTCATTTATAAGCGGCTCTAATCCGAGGCTTTATTGTACCTTCTCTAAATTATCTTACCGCCGAACGGGTTTTCGGTTGCTACTCTGAGGATACTTGGTGTGCTACTTGAACCGGATACAAAATAATCCATTTTTGGCCACTGCATTAGGTTTAACTCATAACTGTTTGCCAATCCAATTTTCTTCCGAATCCTAATCCTGCTATCGAGTGATTAAGCTGAAAATTAAAATCTCCTTTCGAAAGATTAAAAAGAAAACTCGATTATCCTAAATTTTACATAGAATAATTTTTAGTCCAACAGTAAAAATTTTGGCCGGAAATCCTTTTTCTACTGATGGCGAATAATACGCAAAAACACTTATGTATATGTAATAGCTTTAAAATTGGCAAAATTCGCGATTTGTCACCATACACTCCCTTCTGGCTGTAGTATTTATTCTATCCGTTTAAAGTCGGGAAGGAAAACAATCGTTGATATGAAGGATTTTTATATTTAAATCCTTCAAAATCGTTGTTTTTTATTTTTAGCGTCGTTTTAAATATTTTATTTATTTTTTCGATCAAAGTTTTTGTCATCATTTTTTATCGCTATTTTATGATTTACATTTTTTTGATCGTATGATTATTATTTTCATATTTAATTTTTTAGACCTTAGAAGAATTAAATAGGTTATAAAAACGCAGTCTGTATTATAACGGTCTAATTTTTAGACTTAAAAATTAAAAAAACACATAATAACGACTAAAGATGATCGAAAAAGTAAAAATCACAAAACAACGGTGCCAGTTTTAAAGTATTCAAATCGTTTTTTTCGTGCATACATATGTATGTACATCAGAAGATATTGCAATAGGAATTTCAAAGAATTATAAAAATGATTGCAGATAGATATTTGACCTAAAACTTTTTCAGCATGCAGAAAATCACAGATAATATTTAGAAAATATTTTTTAAGAATCCTTCTTATCATGATATGACAGGCACGTAGGTACTTCGCTGCATGAGGCCAATACTGCAGTAGGATAATTATTATAAATTTGTTCATGTCACTATTTGGTGTTAGGTCCGAAATATCGTTTTCTGGGGGCTCATAATACATATTTCAGGATTTTTAAATTGATTTAAATGTCTACATACCACGGCAAAGAGATTAAGTAAACGGTTTCGAGGGTTTTTTCAAATTTTGTGTATGCAGTTTTGATTGCCCGACTACTAGGCAGTAACACGAAGTCAGTAACCCTCCATGAAAATGACGGTAGTGAAGGCCTAAATATGCTGAATTAAAATAAGCAAACAGTCATAACTTAATGGTGACATAATAAAAAATAGATTGACCTTAAACCGCAAGTAAGTTTTTTTTTCTTTTGGAAATTCAGCTTTTGTATGCAATTCTCTTAAGTTTGTTAAAACAGTACGGGAGTATCAAAATATTATTTTTCTGACACACTGACCCATCGTCCAATGCCATAATAACTCATGTTTCCACATACATATGTACATACTTACATATATGAAGTTAATTCTCTTTATGTATAAAATTCCAGTAAATATTTACATATGTATGTATGAACATGTATATATGAACACAAGCAGCTTGACGATTCCATGTTATTACGTACATACATAGTTTTTTTACATACATACATATGTATTATGGTAAAAAAAATGTAGTTCATACATCTGGTCACGGTTTGTATTTTAAGCCCATTATCCAGTCAATCTAATATTGAAATATTTTGACGTACACCTCTCACCTTACTTGTAATTCCGGCATTCACTTCTTACATACATTAGTTTGTAGGCTCATTTAAGGGATTAAAAGAAACAGCAGTACATAAGTGTTGCATTGAAAATGGCAGAGTGAAAATGATCCTTTTTGTGTTGTAATTTTTTGCTTTGTTGTTTTGTAATTTCTGCTTGGGTAAATGGTAATTATGCCCTTGTTTTGTGCGGTTTTCCGCATTTTTCCTTTTCCTGCATTTGCCATTTTTCTCAAAGTGCCGCAGAGGCTACTATCGCCAACTTCGCCACCGTTGAGTATGGCAATTTGTAGGTGCAAAGAAAAAACTGTATGTGACCACATGGTTTGCATGCCAAATGTTTGAAAACAATCAATAATAAGGTGCCAGGGCCTGACGCAGCTGGATACGCATAATCGTTGCTATCTTGGCTTATGCATTTTTTGTAAGCACAAACAAGTGCACGTAAAGCATAACTAATAATGATTGTTTTTATAAATGTACCTGTCCTGATGCGTTTAGGTGGCAAAAATGCGATTTTTTTGCGCAAATTTTTTCCTTTGATATTTACCCTTAGAGGTGCAAGCAAAAACTATATTTTATAATTACTTAATAGAGC